ATAATAATATTTATTATTACTTTCTCATTGAAATATTTTATATTACTTTTACATTGAAGAAGGCACATTTATTTTTCTTAATTGGTTCTTCTTGATGGCTTCTTTGATCTAGCATCTTTAAAGCAACTACAGGCCGGTAACACTGAACAACATGATATGAAATTAAAATGTTATTTAAAATGCTTTATGGTAAAAAGCGGTATTATTAATGAGAATAGCAATCTAGATGTTGAGAAAGTCTTACGTTATCTTCCGTACAGTATACAAGAGTCATCGAGAAAAATTCTTCATCAATGCAAATCAATTCGTAAGTCTTCTTCTTTATTTAGCTACTTTGTTGTATAACAAGGTCAATCTGTATTGCAATTTTTTAAATGTATAATATAACTTATATTTTATATTTTCTTATCTTTTTATACAAAGTGTAACGACACAATAGGTATCATTAAAAATTTGAAAAATGAAAATTGATATTAATAAATTAATTTTTAGAATCGGAGAATACTTGTGATAAAGCTTTTCAAATAGCTATATGTTATTTTAAAGAACAACCTGACGTATGTATTATAATGTAAATTTATTATTATCATGAGATACTCACCAGAGAATTCTATTTGCAGGTTTTAAAAAGCGTATCATTTATTTAAAGATAAATGCTTTGAGTTTAGATGTATATAAAATATTGCATTATGAAAGATATAATGGATAGCAGCATAAAGTAGTTATAAAAACACGCTGTTTTATTAAATTACATTACTTTATTTGAAATATACATTTTATATAAGATAACTATATTTTACTATAATTTGTCATCTTTTAAAAGAAAATGTATAAAAATGATTTAAAATATACTATACTATATAATAATATATATTTGTATATGTAAATGTTTATGTATTTAATTTGACTTTGTGTTTTATAAGCAATATTAAAAAAATCTTTATTTTAGATCACATATGTGAGAAACACAATCGATACTAGAAATTTAAAATCCCTATTATGATCGAAGCTGGATCTTTATTGCTTTAAATAATTCAATCTCGAATTACTAATATATGCTATATATGTACCTGCATATATACCATATTGTAGTTTTTTCGAACTGCACCCCGAATTGTTTCTCCGGACTATAAACGTAATTAAAATTACTCTAATAATCGTGAATTAAATTGACAAGCAATTTTAATAATTTGATACTACCATCAAGCATTATATTATAAATGATGTTAATATATTAAAACTGTTAATAAATTTATTGTAAAAAATATTCCTTCGGCCAGAATTTGAACTTGGATCTTTTGTATTCCGTACAAGCATCCTAAACCATTAGACCATTAGATCGAGATCTTAATAATATAACAATATTCTTCGCAATAATCGGTGCAATAAGGAAATAACGTCTTTCTTTCAGACGACGATAATACAAACAATATTAAAAATCTTTATTTTAGATCGCATATGTGAGAAACACAGTTTAACATATTAACATCTTTATAATATGATGTTTGATAGCCAAATTATTAAAATTGTTTGTTAATTTAATTCATGATTACTAGATTAGTTTTAATTACGTTTATTGTCCGGAAAAACAATTCGGCGCGCAGTTCGAAAAGACAATATATATGCAAGTACATATATAGTAATAATTCATATATATTAGTAATTCAAGATTGAATTATTTAAAGCAATAAAGATCCAGCTTCGATCGAAAGTAGACATTTTAAATTTCTAGTATTGATTGTGTTTTATAGTCTTCCTAAAATATCATTTTGATATACATAATTTTTATGTAAAGATTACTTATACTTTATTTTCCATTATTATATCATTATTATTTCAAAAAAATTAAGACCGTGACATATACAAATGTATCAACTATGTATTAATAATATATTAAAAAATTATTTCTACATTATAAACGTGACACATTTTGTATTTATAAAACATTTTTAAAAAAAGATGTCAATAAAGAAAAAGATGAACGAGACCATGGTAACGCGTAATATTTGTTTGTAAGTCACGTCATATATAAATTTTTAAAGTTACACATTTTGCCAAAATCTCAGGATTTTTTTTTTAGGATAAAAGATTAAAGTTCATATGTCGTAAGATCGTAAAAATTCATCATGTGTGATCATTGTGCGTAAGTAATCTTTTTATTACGTCACATAATGTAGTTTTTCTCTTATAACACTATAACCTTTTTGTTTCTTGAAGTCATATTATGGATACATACGTATGTATATAAAAAGCTATATATATAAGGATATATATGTACACATGTATATATGTGAAAAATGTTGGTGTTATTTTTTATAGCAAAGTTACTAGTCGAAAAGGATATACTGGACAAGTAACCTGTCGATGCAAGTAAGTTTTCATATATATTTATTTATAAATTCATAAATACATTTGCGTGTATATAGATTATGTATGTGTCATGTATCATACATTATGTTTGAGCAGTGACGCGAAAAAGAATGATGTGGTCAGTAAAGAAAAAGACTTCGCTGGATGTTGCAGCAAAAAGTAAAAATTATAATAATAAAAATAAGGAAAGAAAGAATAAAAATAAAAATTAATTAATTAAAAAATAAGAAAAATTATTTTTAAACCTATATGGTCGCCTGATTCCATAATAATGATTGTACAAGCAGTGCAACATTCCCAGAAATTTTTGATAATTCGATAATTATTATAACTCGACTGAATATATACATAGAAAAAAAAAGGGAGGATGTTGTGGTGCCAAATGTTGCTCGGGCACGAAAGAAGAACATGGCGGATGTTGTAGCGATGCCACGGATGAAAAGAGCTGCTGCCCAGTAGGAAAGTAATCTGCCAACGCAATGGTCCTGCTTGACGACAAGGTTAAAAAGGCGGCCATATGGGCTATTTTAAATGAATTCATAAATTCATCTTTTTTATATTCATATGCATAATTTAATTTATTATTGTAAATTCTCCAAATAAAAAATACTTATTAAATGTTTATTTTAATATTTTTTATTATATTTTTATATAGTAATTATTGTTATTACTACATTTTTTATAATTCAGATCGATATTTAAAATGTTATTACTATGCTTTTTCTTAGAGCGAGAGAAGCAGCTGGAGGTTGCTGTATGTCTGGTTGTTGCAAAAATGGAAAGAACGAGAGAGATTCGGCAGGCGCGGATTCCACGCAGATGAAAAATACTGCAGAAAGATGCTGTGCCGAAAATAGAAAATAACTTTAGAAGAGACACTTGTGTTATAAATTATATAATCTAAAAGTTTTAATTATTTTCTGCCCACATCACTATACAACATCTTTATACATTGCGCGCAATCTAAAATATATTATTTGGATAATAAAACTTAAATCCCTGTAAAATCAATTTGTTATTTATAAATTCAAAATACGCTACAAATCTATAAAGCTTATTATTTCTATTTTAATTATTATTATGCAAAATACAAGCCGCTGTTTGTATATTGATTTATATGTTGTAAATATTCTTTGTGCTCTTTAATCAATTGTCAGTATAATCGGGGTTAATATTAAAACTCCATCGTAATAATTTGCAAGTATATTCCTTTATTATGGATCCTATCCTA